TATTGAAACACTTTTTTGCTACCATCGGTAGGAAATGCTACGGATGGTAGCAAAAACGGATAGTTTTTTGGTTATTGAAACCGGGGGTAAGTGAATTCGGTCTGCGATTGTGGAATTTAAGAAATCTTTGTAAGGGTCAGTCATAGGATGGGTGACCTATCTCCTATATTTCTTTTCTCTGTATGGAAGGCGCGTTGAACCGTCGGTCCCGGCTGAATTTGCAGTCGTAAACTTCCATAAATACGCACTGGACCCGCTGGACAGGGTCATGGCTCCTTCGAAGACTTATGCTCCAATAGTGTTTTCTATTTATAATGTATTAATCTGGTAATGCCATGGTTTTTGTGAATGTCATTACTCTTATTAGAGCTGGTGAGTTTCTTGCTCGTTCTCCTTATCAGCCAAAAGATGTCCTGAACGAGTAGTAAGGGAAAAAATGTTGGACGATTCAAAAGTCTATTTGAATAAAGATTATTTTGACTTTGAGTGGAAACATCGATCTGATGATAACGAAACACTGATCGAGTATTTTGTTATTGTCCTATTTTGATAGAAAACAGGGTACAAATCGTGAGGTGGAAGAGGCTCTGGAGATCAGCGAGGATGTAGAAGTGGAGGTGGTGAAACGCCCCAAGAACGGTCGTAATTTGATAGGCGCCGTGTTCAGAGATAACTTCGGAGTGACTCACTCGGCCGCGACACAACTTGCCAGTAACAGGAATCAGGATGCCGTCGTGGGATTCACGCAATGCTTCATGTTCTTGTGTGAGTATAACACGGATGATATCAGCCCTTTATTTCATCCCCACTGCGGGGGCTCAGACCTTCCTTATGACTGGTTACGGATCATGGGCCGTGATCCTCCACGCTGGCCCAATGCGGATTGGCGGGTAAGTTGAGATAGTAATTTTTTTTGTCACCCATCCTACATTTGCAGTCGTTAATGCCCTCCAAACCGCATTGGGCCTGCGTGGAGGGTCACGGCTCATGCTCCGTAACCATTAATATGGAAAGCCGATATCCCCGCAGTTTGCTACTTGAGAGTTATAACAATAAATTGTCACATATGATAGAAGTGGTAAACTTTATATAAATAATAAGTATTCTGTAGTTTTTACTTAAAAATAACTTGTAACTATATTTTATTTTTGCAAAGTTAACTTGCGATTTATAATCTGTGGGTTATAAAAACCGAAACGCGGGGCGGCCATGACATAGCATCGTGTGACGTCACATTTCAATAAACTAAACGTCAACGTTTTTCTTGCGAAAACAACAAGGAGCTATTCCGTAAAAACCCGAGATCGAATTCGAATTCATTAAGAAAGGGAATTATTTATCTATTCGTCGCCCGGAAGATATTGCTGCATATAATATAAAAAGGCCGCCTTTTTGTATAATGTCTGTAATGTTTTCTTCTTTTGTAGCGTCCTTTATTTGTGCTATTAATGTTATTATTATTAATATTATTATTGTTTTTAGTGGTGAAAGTGATAAGAGTGCAGAGTTGGCTATCCTGTATAGTGGGCAGCGTGTTGAGTGTAACGCGGGAACTTGTCGACGAATCGTTCGATACTAGATGTAACCGCGCCCTCCACAATCTATTATCGCAGACTAGATTGGCTCATCTCATCAGATTGGGACACGGTGGGTGGTTTTATGGATTCTAAGTCTATGTGGCTCGGTGGCGTAGAGTTTAAGCGCCGCGGCCCGCGAACGTTGTTGTTAAGCAACTTTCGCAAAGGTCGGTCACGGGATGGGTGACCAAAAAATTATTATCTCGACCTACTTCGGTGCTTCGGAAGGCACGTTAAGCCGTTGGTCCTGGCTACATTTGCATTGTCGTTAAGTTATCGTTAATACCCTCGAATCCGCATTGGGCCAGCGTGGAGGGTCATGGCCCATCCTCCTTAACCATCCATAAGGAAGGCCTGATTCTCTGCAGTGCGGACGTAAAAAGGCTGGTGATGATGAAGTCTATATGGAGCTCGACAGCACTGGTTAGTGCGTGCGGTATGCAACGCTTAAGTTGAGCGACTTTCGCAAAGGCCTGTCATAGGATGGGTGGCCAACAATTCCTCGGTGTATTGGAGGGCACGTTGAGCCGTTGGTCTCTACTAAATCTACATCGTTGAGGCCCTCTTGTACCTATGCTTTGGTTCCCATACAAATAAGCATCGAGAGTTAACTCGCGCTCGCCTAATTTCATACATTTTCAATCACAGAAAAAAACAAATGCATTAAAAAAATGTATGCTTTAGATTCTATGATGATCTAAAACAAAAATATGTATATATTTTTTATATAGTTGAGATGAAATATATTAGTCGTAAAATCGATCCAAATAACCTATTGAAAGTCTCTTTGCGATTTATTTTCTATCGAGCCAATTATTATAATTGGTCTAAAATTCCATTCAATCTAAAGTCCATTAATAAACTGATGATGCTAATTATAAAGCCTATATATTGTGTCTACTCATCACAGACCAATCTTTAAAACGTCAAAGATTTAATTATAAAATTCTATCGCAAGATTAGGGGAAGTACGTACAAAATGACATACTATTTTTTTGACATGTTATTTATTTGTAACTATTACGATTAGAATCAGTCTCTTAATTTTATAATCATCTTTGGTTATTTGCCTTACAATAATTTAAATAAACAATCAAATAGGAACCTTATCATGAGATCAACAGAGCATAATTAACAAAAGTAGAAAAATCCATTTTGTCCATACTATACGGACAAAACGACATAATATTCATGGACATAATGATATAGAAATAAAGTTAAGCACATAGTTCACAATAAAAAAAATTTATTTTGCGCGGAACATCAGCACATGATGCATGGGCCCATAGACCACACTTCATGCATTTTAACCAGTCTTCGCCAGGCTTAGAACGTGAAAATAAATCGTTACAATAAATGCACGCGCAATCATCGTCGTCATCAACGAATCGATTAGGAAGCTGGTAATCTTCGGTGTCTGATTCCTCATCGAATAAAGTCTTTGTTACTTGACGTTTCTTCTTTTCATGAGGAATTTTTGGAGCATTTTTTTCTTTAACTTCGTCCATATTAGGAGTAGAAGTTAATGCTTTTTTTTGAATTGCTTTTTTTTTGCTTTCTCTTTCCTTGCCCCTGAATAAATTTTCCTTGTGGTGCTGGAGATAGAACTTCTACAGGAAACAGCATTTGTTTCATGTCTGAATCATATGCCGTTTCTTGTCGAAGTTCAAGACCAGATGTTCCTGGGACTGGGCTAAAAGATGAGTGAATTTCTGGGTTACCAGCTGCAGATGAACTGCCAACTGTGGTAGCTAGCAGTTTAGCACCGATTGCATCACCATTTTGCGTATTATCTCGGCTTAATGGAATATTAGTTGTTTCAGCAGGTTCATAGAGGTAATCTAGGATAATGTATGGATTTATCGGCCACAGACCCGAACTTTTAAAACCATTGCTGGCATTTTGCACAGTAGCTGCTTTCCCATAGGCTTGGTTAAATAAATATCCTATTTGTAAATGCGTCACTACACGACCTGGGTGATTTTTTAACCACTTTGATATTTCTTGATGAAAATATGTCTTCAAAGGATCGAAGACACGTCCATTGGCTGCATATGATGTGTGCAATGTGGAGGTAGGCATAAAATATGAATATTATTTTCTTTTGCATAAACTAATGCTTCGATACCTTTGTGACTTGCATGCCCATCACAAATAAGTAAGACTGGATCATCTTTACTTGATTTTGTATGAGTTTGGAAGTGTTTCAACCATTTTAAAAATATTTCTGTATTACTCCATCCTGATTCTTAAGCCAACCCTAAAGTTCCAATTGGGGCTTCATCTATGAGTTCATTTTTCATATTTTTTCTTGGAAATATCATACACGGAGGGATGAATGAACCAACAGCATTTGCACAACAGATCACCGTAACATTCATGCCTCTTTCTGCACTCGTAAGGCATCCAACCTGCTTTCTGCCTTTAGTAGCTAATATTTTCTGAGGTTTTTGTACTCTGGATAAACCTGACTCATCAACGTTGTAGATTTTGTGTGGTCCCAAAGTGAATTTACTCATAAAACCTTGATAAATTTCAAAAAACTTTGAAACCTGAGGTCTGTTGAACGCTTGAGCTCTAGCAGCTGAAGTTGGCTCCGGAGTACGCAAAGAGATATCTTTATTACGCTTTAGAAAACCATCTAACCATTCTTGACCCGCGCACCTTTTTTCTTTGTTAAAATTATGACTAAATCCATTTTTTTCAGCTAACTCATAGGCAAGTTCTTGAACAGATTTTCTTGTCAAGCCGAACAATCGCGACTCCAAAAATTTCAAATGCTCGACTAGTTGCTTCTCAACAGCTGGTGGAAACGTCATTTTAAACCTGCCTAGACCTTTGGTATTAGGGCGTAAAGTTTTGTTTTGTCCTAACGCATGTCTCCTAAGCGTAGCTTGGGGCACACCGAAAGTCTTTGACGCTAACAGCCACCCCATCTTCTTTTCTTGAACAGCTTCTATTGCCTTTTGCATGGATTCGCGACTCCATGTTTGACGTTGAGATTTCCGTTTATAATTGCGCGGCATATCTTTAAATTACCTAAAAATAAAAATAAAACAAACTTCTTATAATATAATATAAACGTATGGACAAAATGACATACTATTTCGTTTTGTCCAGAGCTTGAATATGTCATTTTGTCCGATGGCATAGAAAAAATAAAATAAAAGTTCACTTTGTTGAAACCACTATTTTTTTAAATATATTTTACCTTAAATCACAACCTAATGGTATACTGCATCGATTTCAGTAATAACATTAAAAGAAAATAATGTAAAACTTTCATGAAATGTGTAGAAAATCAGCACAATAAAAAACTTTTAGACCCACGAAACACGTTTGTACCCGTAACACATTCGCGACTGAGCCGAAGACGACAGATTTTTGACAGGTTTGCTACAATGGCCGACGTCAGATGATGTGATGTCGATGGTCGCATTTCCGCCCGCCAATTTTGAAAAACACATGGTGTGTCATTTTACCCATATATGTCATTTTGTACGTACTTCCCCTATTAATTAATAGTTTAGACCTTGAATTAATATTTGATTATACAAATTGGAAGTTTAATCGAAGGATTTCCTAGCAATACTTTATTCGACAACAAAGGATTCTCTTCTGTAGCCGAGTGATTCGCACGCCGAGTTCAAGGTGTCGCCATCTCCAAGGTCTCGGGTTCGATTTCTGGGCTAATGTAATGAAAGAACTACTCTATATAGTCTAGGGTCTGGGTGTTGTGGTACCTTCGTTATCTCAGATATAAAAAAAAAAAATTATAGCCTAAAATAAAATCTTATAAAAATGATAATTTAACGTTTCTTATTAATAATAGGGAATATGCGTCTGATTCAAAAAAGAGTTAAATATATTTTATTACAATCGTTATTGCTTTAGAATAAAGTCTATCTAAATATTTTTCACCATTAGTTCGGTTTCGTCTTGAAAATTAAAAAGTGCAAAATAAATGCGGTAACTTCAAAATATTTAAACGCCATGCTGCTTGTCAGAGCGGATGTGACGAAAATGTACACGTAAAGGGATGTCGTTGTTACAACAAGTTAACATCGATGCAATAACATTTATGTATTATGTCGCAAAATAAACAACTGATTACAATTTAAATTATGCTTTAGGCCTTTATTTTTATTTCACCAATTTGTTAAATGATATGATTTAATAAAAATATGTATTATACTTTAAAAAATCGATTTGGGTAATTGAATAATAATCAATCACTCAAAATCCATATTGATTTAAAATGTCATATCTCTAGTCGTGTACTTTGACGTCACGACAAGCGCGCCAACTACTCGTATCTATTACTTATTTTCATCAATGATTAATGTTACAAAATTTTAGTTTTTCGGCGCCGGGTATTTTTTACAGTTATATATCGATGAAAATTATCATTTAAAACCATTTTCCAAAAATGTGCATATTCCCTATTGGTAGGCCTTCTATTCGGTAAGAAATCGTCGACGCCCCGGTCCGATCCCGATAAACAACGAGAGTTAGCGAGGGCTCAGCTGCTGGCCAGTATCCCTTCCACTGCTGCGTTAGTGTGCGGATCCTCTCTGCCCGCCGCTGTCAACGCCGCCTTCGATATCATACAGAAGCCACATCTCAACAAACACGTGAGTTCCTTCGACGGCGAATCAACGTATTATTTATAGATATATTTAATGTATATTTTTTACTAGTGGCCGCAAGCGACTTCGTCCACGTTTTCCATTATTTCTTCGCTCCTAATAGTTGCAGCGTGATGTTATATAGCCTAAAGCCTTCCTCGATAAATGGGCTATTCAACACAAAAATATTTTTTCAATTCGAACCAGTAGTTTCTGAACAAACAAACAAACTCTTCAGCTTTATAATATTAGTATAGATATTTAAAGTATATCTCTAAAATAAAGATATTAAAAAAGTCGTCTACGCCCCTTTTCGACAGACTTGAGAAACAGGAGAGAACGAGACCAAGAATGAGATATTATATTTGCATATCTCACTCTAACTTATGATATTTCATGTCAATATCGCGCGGAAACTTTTTTGTGCGTTTTGTTATTGCTGTGTTGTTTAAAGCTCATTTTATATTATAACGAGGAAGTATTTAAAAAAAGTAACCACTAAAAGCACCTCACTAGATAGGGACTCAAGCAAGAGTTGATTTTTGCATGAAACAAATGGACCAAAGATATTTCTATGTTATTTCGTTCCTTTTAATGTGTTAATATTAAAAAACTGAAATTTGCAAAGTTCGAAACTTAGATATCAAAATAAATACGAAAAAGAACAAATAGAATATGAGTTCTTTATTGAGTTTTGAAAATTAATTTACTTTTATACATGAAAGAAAACCGGAAAGGTTGTCGTGGAGAAATCAAGAAAGTACCGTAGCGACATCTAGTTTGGCTACGGGAACTGTTTTTTTTTTTAATACTTTCTCATTATTTTTTTTCTTTGTAGCCTTTTGTTTTAATCTTTGTTTTGTTTTATTTGTTACAGTTAGTATACAACTTATTAGACTTATGCCTCGCAGAGCTGTTTCCAGAGTTGAAGGAGTCGTGTAATCCATTGAATGAGCCAAATAGTTGAGAGTACCTCTAAATCGTGTATACAAACATTTACTAGGATAGCTGCAAGGGCCTTACCGTCAGCTTTAGAACAGGATGCAAACGCGCATGAGACACTCATATAGTAGTTCCATCTCGCTTCGAAAGTTGCACAGTAATAAAGAATTTGGTAAGGTAAAGTTGCATTGTAATAAAAAATATGACAATAATTTTAAGTCCTTGCAAATCAGCTGCATGTGTCAGATGATTAAACAACAACATATATATGCGGAACCGTTATTTTGGCAATATTGAAAGCTATAGTGATCTCACGTTTCTAATCGATTTCGTGTATGAAAGAAACATTACTTTTTAAACCTTTGGCAATATTTAAAGCAATAGTAGTTTATGAGTAATTTCGTGCATAAAAGAGGCAGTGTATTTTCATAATACGTATGCATTAACTCGACGCAATTCTTTACACAAATATTGCACAGTTATGTATGTCATATTTTGTAGGTTAAATATTTATAAATTCCGTGTGTTCACGACTGTTCTTTGTATTCTAAAGCAAATTGTCATTTATTGTTAGTCTTTGTAAATATCCTATTTATGATAAATATATTTTTATAATATTAATTTTAAATTGATATTCTCGAATTACACAGGTGAAGGATATTGAGAAACCATAATGATTTACTAGTACGTAAAAAATATTTATATATCTTTACTTGTTTCCAGTATAGACCTAAAACACTGAATAAATATATTTTTACTAAGATTTTGTTTTATTCGATGGCCTGTTGACATTTTACAGTGGAACCTTGATTATACGAACTAATAGGGACCGAGACTAGTTCAGATAAGTGTCGATATACACTGATCGACGGGTTTCGATGGTTTGTCCATACAAAAAGAGCACTAAGTATCGAACAACGTCTACATGGTACACCTTTCGTAATGACGCCGACGGGACGAACGCGCTCTGGCGGTAGATTGATAGGTAAATTTAAAAATATCTAAACTTCTTGGATAGATACGAAACGCGGTCAGTTGTTGGTGGCAAAAGATCAAAAGGTGCAGATATCTTCCTATAGACGATCTACGATCGCCAGTATAAAGGTGTACCACAGTGTACAAAGTACAGTAGATTAATTGCTTTTAAAATACAAGAAAAAATTTTGACTCCGACAATTTTACGGTCCACCGTGTTCAAGAGGTACACCGGTATGAAGAAATGTTACCATGATGTTTGGCATCTTACTTCTGCAAACTAATTCATACATGTACAGCTGTTACGGACGCGACTATAAAAAGTACTGTAGTACTGTAAAAAGTAAGTATAATGAAGATTTAGTATTTTAGTGAGTATTCGATCATTAGTTTCTACTACTGCATCTTAACCACTGATCCCTTGTGGGGTAGTCAGAAAGAATGGAAAACTACAAGGTTATTTTGCACCAGCACAATGGGGAGAAGATGCAGCTGCTGCCAAATTTTAAATAATAAATCTGTGACGCTTAGTGACTGGTTTTAGACAAGGTGAACATTTTCTATTTGGTATCGATTTGACAATCGAGAACAGACGAATGTGACGATCTACGACCAAAGAGTAAAGTATACTTATATATCCTAGGGCCCATACCCATATTACTTATACATGGTATATACCCAAGAAGTTTTGTATATGCCCATAACATGGATTAAAGATGGATCTCGAAACTAAGATATCTCTGAAAGAGAGAAAACTTTAAAAATCCTATCGACCCACGGCTCGCTACGGACGAGAATAATTAACGCCTCATTTTTAGGGTTTTCATTTATGATATAAACTTTATAGTATATATATTGTTTGTTAACACTTATTATATTTTAATAAATTAAGAAATAATTATAATTCATTCATAAAGATCTCATAATTTTGCAGTAACAAAACGCTAGTTTCGTTCTGAAATCGGTTAACAAAACCGAGAAAATCTGACTAAATAAAAAAATGTTTTGATCAGTGATGGTAGTAGAGCACAAGGTTGTTTTTAATTTGGTCGCTTAATAATAATACCCCGCATGAGATTTCTAAACTAAGAAATCTCTAAACAAATGTCAATTTATTTACAGTAGAAAGTAAAAGGAGATGGGTGTGTTGCTTTGTATTTTAGTTGGGCAAAATAGTTTAGTAAATGGGAAAATTAGAGGTAGTAGGTACTATTTTTAATATAAAACCATCCAAGTATCTAATTAAATTGTAAATAATAATTCTTGGGAGTAAATATAGTGTGCGTGTTTAATTTTATTACAAATTAGAATCGGATTGAAAATTAAAATTCCAATCGTTTGTTATGTTCGCAATGATTGCGTTGTAATTTAATAAACAATAATAACTACTGTACAGCTGAAAAATATCAATGATTAAAAACGACGTCTGCATTAAAAATGGGATTTCTCATTCACGGACATGGATGTTATTGGTGAATGTTTCTTTGGTAACTTGATTTATAAAGCATCGTTATGTCTTCGCCGTGCCAGAAAGGTGGAATGCGACTTAGCGAGGCCTTGGATAACATGCAGCTGGCTTACAATCCTATAACAAAGCAATTGCATTTCGTGAGTCCTAAAATTGAGAAACCTCCAGAAGATGCAATAGATGACATTGATAAGTTGTCCAAAAAAAGTAGTTTCAGTGATGAAGGAAATTTCTCAATATCAACTTGTGAAAAAAGTGATACAAGTGACAGTCCTAAGAGCACTTTGCAGTGGGGTGGCAGTGTAAGTGGACATCAGCGTGGCAAAGACGGTGGATCGTTTTCAAGTACAGTGTCGAGTCTGTCAGAGTGTTCCCTTGGGTCCAGTGCATCGAGAGAAGATGAAATAGGTTATGCAAACACAGAAGATCAGTCACATTCGAAACTGAAGAAGAAAGGCCTGTCAGGATTCTTTAGCAGGTATGTTAGATTATAGAAAATCTGTAAAGATTGTAGTTTTTAATTTTCTATTGGTGTAAAAGGGTAAATATGGATAGTATTTAATTTTATCTGATCAAATCAAAAATCATAAAAAGTGTAGCTTATCATAAGATATATCAAATAATGCCAATTCATTAAAAAAATGTATTTACTGTCCCTCTGCCAAATGGTCATATCTAATTTTGTTATTGATGTTTCTGCAAATATTAAAAACTTGATCTCAAAAATGTTAAGTAGTCTAGTTTAATTCAACTCATTAGTTTATAATTGTTCTAGTTTCATTCAGCACCATTAATAACTAGTTTATAATGTACATACCAATAATTATTTGGTTATAACCTAATGAGGCAATCAAACATAGAATAATTATTTATAATTTTACTTCTCTATTACTGTGGCATTATGTTAGATAATAATAACCACATTCATTAGCTGGACAAATGGATCACAGTCCGAGACATAATGATTTGTTTGTTCTGTGATTGCTTTGGTTTAGTTGTTGTTATGGAATATTTATATCAAGACCAAAAAATATCATTTTTATAAGATTTATGATGTATTTCTGTCTGAAATTAAATTACAAACAAATATTGAAAATGGCATGTTTTTTAACAAAGATAATATTTCATTGGATTATTTATGGATACACAACATTAAATTATATTTTAATTGATACTCAGCCAGTTGCACAAACCCCCATTTAAACTTTCATTAGTTTAAAGCAACATTACGCATACAAATTTGACATTCGTTAGAGCTTAAAGGCGGTATTAATGGACGTTTGAGCAACGGACCGACTGAGCAATGTTTTAAATATACCTTAAATAATAGTATTACATAATTAGGGAATGATACTTTTGATTTTAAATAATAATGGCCATGATAAATACATGCCATATTTTAAAAAATCTTTTTTGTTTTTTACATTTGTATTCCAATGTACACATAACGAAATATTTTAATTACTGAATAAGTTAACTACCTTAAAGTTTCTTATATTTTACATATATCTAATTTAATCCAAATTATATAGGTGAGGAAATCTAATATTCAACATTTTCTATAAAAATAACATCTTCAGGAATTTTTATTCCCAAATTGTTCTATAATTTTTTAATTAACAGAAAAATAATTAAAATACATTATGAAAAATTACAATTTATTTTATACATATATTTCAATAAATTATTTTATACAATTAACTTAATGACTATAGACAAACAACTTAAAATTAACATTGTTTACCAAATTTATTAGGTTCGATCCCTGCTAATTCACAGGAAACTTCAAATAATCTCTTTTGGTGATCTAAATTTTTTGAGAATCTATTACTTATACCCTCCGTGCAGTTACTTATGTATAGGCCACCATTTTTCTCTAAGTCTTTGTCAAAACAAGCATGAAGTATGGAGATTGCTCCCTTAGCTGGTGTTTTAAAGAAAACCTTCATTGCCCATGGGAATACTCGTCTGAATAATGTCCCATCAAACAGGTCAGTGTTGACAATTCCTGGATGAACAGCGAAGCTTTTTACCAAACACCCCTCTTCTTTGAGTAGTTTACTTATATATCTTGCACTCATTAACTGAAACAAAAATTTAATTATTAAGAAAAATTATGAAAATGTAATAATTATTAAGATGTCTTTTTTTAATATAGGTACCTACCTGGGCTAATTTAGATTGTGCATAAGCAGCCGTAGTGTCATAATGCTCTTTCATATTTATGTCTTCGAAAAATATCTTGCCTGGATAGTGAGCACATGAAGTGACATTCACAATCCTAGAGGATTCCCCAATTGATCCTCCATTTTTTAAAGCTGGCAACAACAGGTGGGTTAAGTAAAAATGACTCAGATGATTAACAGCTAACTGAGTTTCTACACCATCTTCAGTGAGCTTATAATCTCCAAACATTATTCCTGCATTGTTGACTAGAATATGAATCTCTGGATACTCATTCAAAACCTGTTCTGTGAATTCTTTAACTGATTTCAATGATTGTAAATCCAATTTGAAGGCTTTCAGATTATGTCCGTTTTCCATGGTCTCAGCCATTTTCGTCGCCAGTTCTGGTTTTCTTATTCCCATTATTACAGTCACGTTTGCTTTCAACAGACCCCTTATTACTTCGGTGCCGATACCGCGCGCCCCACCAGTGATGACGGCAATCTTGTTTTTCGCATCTGGCAACACTGTTCTGTTTCTTCTGACGTTCACCCAATCGTCGATCAAACCTCCGACGCCCGCCCCTTGCATATCTAGTGTGTATCTTAACTCGCTCAATATGTGCTTAATGGGTTTATGTCTATTCATGTACCAATATACAGCTGCCGCTGATGTAAACACGGCTACAGACACTAGCGCGACAGACATTGCGAGGTTATGTTTTCGTCCGCTCGACACAGCGCGCCTCGTAAACTGACGCCGACTGCTTTCACTCTATTGGAAATCCTCGACGCTTTCTCTCGGTATGCTGTTAATAAACACGTAGTACCGTTAGTTGAAATAAAAAATACTGTTTATACTTTAAACATTATTAATTCGGATTTGTGAATCAACAACTTATCTCACTAGCGTGTTATCGTAGTTATTCAGCCTTGTAGTTTTACTCTTTGCTTGTATTACAAACACAATGACTGAGGCAGTGATGTAATTTTATTCCTCTACCATTTGAACTCGAAGTCTAAAAAAGGTTTGGATTAACCACACTAATGAACGACAGTTCGGGACTTTAGATAAATGAAGGAATTAATATTAATATGTTTAAGGAATGGGGTCATATATTTTGCGCATGCGTACAGTCAACAGCACGTCAGACTATACAGATCTGTCAAAATTTTTCACCAGATTTTAAACTTTAATGGCTTGAAAGTAGGTGTAAAAATCAAATGCGATATTGTAACATATGGTTAACGTATGTGTGTAGGTACTTAATATGATTTAATTGTATTAATTTATAACTTCGTGCCTTGAATAATTTAGCCGCTGCAGCAGCAGGTAGAAACAAAATATGTGAGTTATCAGAAAAACAAGAAACAATTTATCTTGGTTGTTAACCGGATAGTGTTATCAGATGTTATCGTTGTATGATAAGTTGTATTATTTACACAACAGTTGTTGGATTGTCTACAGCTGCTGATGATGTATATGATGAGATGACGCGTGACGTAACTCAAGTTTTTGAGCTTCTATATTATGATTTTCGCCTTCGTTAATATACAGTTGCTCAATGAAATGACAATAGGTAACGAACATATGGCGTCAAGATGTAGACCTCTATCTCTATATGTTGATCTACACGACAAATTTCTTGTGGGGTACTCTATTCGACCCTATTGGGGCGACCTTTGCGTGGTCATCTCATTGGTCAATACAACGAAGACCGATCAATGAATGTGACGACCAGACATTTTCTGTTCATCGACCAGTGTGAAAATACGTCATAACAGTAAAATATTTAATGATATTGCAAGTGCGCAATCCGAGTTACAAGTAATTTATCGGCATGGTCTGGTCGAGATAGATTTAGGTGCTTAATTTGATAACTTTTTATTTATTTAATATAACAATTAAAATGGTATGTATCATAAATATTTATAAATAAATATATATATTTATAAATTCGAGTGGGAGTAGAGAAGACGAAATAGGTAAATGCCAGCAGTCAGCAGCAGCAGTTCATAATGTAATAAATGTATACGAGGGTCAAACTGAAAGTTCTTAAAAAATCAAAAACTGATTACATTAGCCAGTTATTAGTTTTATTATATCTTTTCAAAATATTGTCCATTCACGTCAATACACCGCTGCATGCGATGGAACACCTGGGAAAAGCACTTTGCCCACTCGTCCTTAGGGGTCTCTTCAATGGCATCGCGATACGCAGCCACCGCTTCTTCAGCATTCATAAACCGCTTTCCTTTAAGCTTTTCTTTAATTTTTGGAAATAAATAAAAATCACAAGGCGCGAGGTCGGGGCTATACGGCGGGTGACCCAGTAATTCAACGTTTGATATCGCCAAATAGTCGATCGTTCGCTTGGCGGTGTGCGACGAGGCGTTGTCGTGGTGAAGGAGGATCCTACTGCGAGGTCGTTTCTCTCGAACTTTTTCCAAGACAAGTGGCAAACAATTGGTAGTGTACCATTCTGCAGAAACAGTTTTTTGATCCTCTAACACAATTGTTGCAAAATGACCTATCCTTCCAAAGAACGAGGCCACCATTTTTTTTCCCGCACTTCGATCTCTCTTCACTTTAGTTGGCAACTCCTCGAAAGGAAACACCCACTGAGCAGATTGTCTTTTGGTTGTCTTATAACAGTAAATCCAGCTTTCGTCACCTGTTAGTATGTCGAACACAGCATTTGAGTCACCTCCGTTAAATCTTTCAATCATTTTACGACACCAATCCACACGATGGAGTTTTTGAGCCTCAGTCAAATTATGAGGTATCCACCGGGCGCAAAGCTTCCTGACCGCTAAATGTTCGTGGAGGATTTTGTGCACTTGACTCATACCGATGCCTAAGCTTGTCCGAATCTGTTGATAGGTCACTCTTTTGTCAGTCTCTATCATACGCCGCACAACACAGATGTTATCTTCAGTCGTCGCCGTAGAAGGCCGTCCCTCACGTAAATCATCAGTGAGATTAGTGCGACCACGTTTAAACTCATTAAACCAGTTGTAAACAGTCGCACGAGATGGGGCTTCATCGTGAAAGGCCAATCGTAGTCTATCATAACTTTCTTGTTGACTTAAATGACATCGAAAGTCATAAAAAATCTTTGCACGAAAATTTTCTCGTGTTAAATTCATGATGACGTGACACAGACAATTTTCAATTTGCCGCCAAATCGTAAAACAAATGACAAATGAATGAAATATATACTCAGTAATATTGGCAAAGAGTTATATTTTCAAATTTTAGAATTATTTTTTTATTATATTGTTTATAAGTGGCCAGTTCTAAGAACTTTCA